TAACACAAGCATGAGTTGTGATGCTGTCTGAGTACATACATCTGCTGGGACAAGGAATCTTTTCCTCCATGTTTAGGCATAAGTGAGAAAGAAAGAAGAAGTAACTGGTATCCCAACTCTCCCATTTGTGAAAAGCAAAAAAGAGGGAAACAGCTCTCTAGCAAAACAGTAACATTTATACAGCACATTATATAGCTTTGTGCTTCAACAAAAGACCAGAAAGTAAGATAAGGTGCTTGCTAATGCATTTTGGTGCAGCAGTGGACAGTCCATGACTTCAGAAATACTGAATTAGGAACTCAAAATTAGCAAGCTTTAAGCTGCGGCTCTCACAAAACCCCATCAGAAAACTGTTTCTGCAAGACRGAAATGTAGAGAACAAGATACCTAGTTTGTGGCTATTTCTTTCTTATCTTGCCTAGGCTAACTTTCAAAATAAAACCTTCCTGACCAGATGATGGAAGGATTCACGTAAGATGCAGATGTAGCTCTGAGTGGAAATGGCCTCGAATGATAATWGCCATGAGCATCCTATCTGTAAGCCAAAAAATTCAGCTGACTTGCTTTTCTCACCTCTACCTGCACCAGTAAGCCCAAACTAATACTTTTTCTCAATAAAATTTGGAGGTTTAGTCCAAATATCCAGTTGTTACCCATGGCACTGATTTTCCAGGAATCAGTAGTTTTTCTGTCATCCACTCACACCAGACCTACAATACCAGCACTATTGAGATGTAGTAAAGCAGGACCCCTGGAATCATGCATGGTGACACAGCTAAGGCTTGCTTCACCCTCGGGCTGGGCTCTGCTTCTCTGGCAGGGCACACAGCTCTTGCTGCTTCCTTGCACCCAGGGTGGGGGAAAAGGGGCAGGGAGCATGGGGACAGGGCTGCGCTCAGAGATGAAGGCTGCTGTGGAACACAAATAGCTCTTCAAGTGAATTAGATGCTGGAACTCCCAAATAAGAAAACCTGGAAAGCTGATAAAATTATTCAGATAGGAAGAGATTACAATTAATTTCTGAAGCAAAAGCTACCAAAGGAAAACTCAGAGACTTCAACAAATTGGACTGTGAACATGAGAGCAGAACTGTCTGCAAGGAGGCTGCGAGCCTTGTCTGCCTGGCACTGCCACAGGAAGAGTCTTTGCACTGTGACTGGAGCAGAGCAAGGTGTTATTTGATAGTGGAAATGCCTTGCTCTCTTTGGAAGGAGACATAACTCTTTATGGAATAATTTATTAATGCCATTTAAGAAATTGAATTCCTGTTCGGTGAGAATTTTATTTATGCTAAATCAATMGATGAAGTCAGAATTTCAATTTATTGCTGAATAGAAATTATGCTAAGAAAGCAGCCTAGAAAAAGGAAACACTTAACAATACTGAACTGTTTTAGTCTTAAAGTGGTTTCAATGACATAATGATATATTAAAGATCATATATTTAAGTATTTCAGAAAACAGCAGGAAAAAAAAGCAAATATAGTGCTAAACAGAACAAGATATTGTTATCCTCAAAATGACATATTAACATTACTAAAATACGATTAAAATGATTCATTATTCTTTTCTTCAAAAAGAAAAATTCAAAACTGACATTTCTTGCCATCTTCCAGTAGTAACTTTCTATTTTCATTTTTTTACCGTTTTTCTCTGCAGTTGAAGAACATCACACTGACTTTTACAGCTTCACCAGGAGAGCCAACAAATACTTATTTGGTAGCCCCCATGTCAGTGTTTATTTGGCTTGTGACAACATGAGTAGCCATGGAGTCTCCTGCACCTCACCTGTAATTGTCTTTTTGCAAATTCATCTCTGAAAACTGCTATTACAAAGCCCACCAGCTGTACTGTCCTTCAAAAAATGTCAGTACAGGCCCACCATGTCATCCTTGTTTTTGCTGTCTTTCTTTCTTTAAGCCAAGCAGCTGCCAAATCAGCAGCTCATGGATTTCTGGCTGGGAATGGAATCTCACACTTGAGTCAATGAGCGATGCATGCGCACACAAACACATGCACGTACACGCTCTGCATCTGAACTGGAGCTTGATTCTGGGTAGACACAACCTCTGCAGTGCTGCACCAACAAATGCCATCTTCATCACCTCAAATGGCTCCGTGTTACTGAAATGGAGCAAGCTGGATGCACTGCAGGAGGCTCGGAAGTGAGCAAAAAGCATTTGAAGAGTTTCAGCACAGCCTGCTGGGAAGCTCTGAAAATACACAAGGGCCTCCCTAAGGACTCTGTGGAGCACAGACATGTGCGAGCTCTGGCTCCCAGCTCGCTGCCAGGCAAGGTCAGGCTATCAGGAGGGTTCATCTCCAAAAGCAAAAATTTGAATCTGAGTGCTGAAATCGGTCCAAAATAAACTTCCTTTTATTTTTCCCTCTGTGTGTCAGACAGTCACACTTATGACTACATTAGCACTGCCAGCCAATGCATTGCACAGATGTGGGATTGAAGAGACACYCCAGCTGTAGTTAAATGCCTATTCSTCTGAAAAAGGTTTATTACATTAATTCTTAAAAGTTTAGTAACATTATGCATTGCTGATGCTGGCAATCCTGAGTCTGAGGACATAAYTATTTAAAACTAAAACAATGAGACTGATATTTTACTGTAACTTGTACTTAATATCCTTCCTAAATAATTTTTCATCATTAGAAAGATCTTGGAGCATCAACTTGCATAGTGCTTTTGTATTCAYCTTTCTTTTGCAGTGAAAAGACAGATTGACTTAGAAAGCTTTTGTATAAAACTTTCTCTGTTGCTGTACCTTTCAAATCATCAGATTATATTTAGACTTGAAGTTTTTCTGAAGCAGAACTGATGTATATAGAAATGTTCTGCATTCTGTAACTGAAACTTCCTTTTCTTCTGTTTTAGTTAAACCAAGTCTAAAACCCAGCATGCTGATCGTTGGCAAATAGTTGCTCTACATAGGAAAAAGTAGCTGTGGTACAACTGTGTAGAGCCCTCAGAGAATTTCTGATATTCTTATAGAGGCAATCTGCAGAATATACCATGTCAAAAAAACTCCTGGGCCTTTGCAAAAGCAAAAAGCCTTGTCAAACAGATAAGCATTGCTACTGGASAGTTTTTCTGAGGAATGAGGAATTATCTTAAGTAAAGGATACAACTTCCAGCTTCATGAAACACCTGTGTGGAGCCATTACTCTCTTCACTTTCTTTGCAGCAAACCAGGAAACCTGGGTCAAAYCTGTTCTGAGAGGCACAAGAGGATCTGGGSAGAGGGTCTGAGCTGTGCTATGCCRAAGAAGGAGTTAYGAAGGGAAGCAGACGCTGGGGTCCTTCTTCTCCCTCATCTTCCCACACCAGATTCCACTAACACAGCACTGTCATTTTTCCATATCCAGTTTTCTGTCAGCTTTTACCCTGAAAAATGTGGGAAAATCTAGTTCCTCARGTCACATAAACACTTGATTACCTTCATTTGTTGCACAAAGCCCTTTCACAGCTCACCAGTTGCTTAGTTGTTTTTATCCTGGACTTCAGATTCTAAAGCACTATTCAAGAGTGGCTCAGCTCGAGGCAGTGGCTAGCAGCCTTTCCGTGGCTTGGCTGTACTTGACAAGATAAACATTTTTCATCTTGAAACTTTGTTTCTCAACTTTTAGTCTGTGCCAAGTCTCCAGTGTGCTACTCTATTGTCCTTGYCCTGACAGAGTCAAAGCAGTTCCTAGCAAAGCTTATTAGCTTGGGCTTTGTGCCTCGCCTGTAAAATGTTTCACCGTATTCCTGGAGAGCCTGAAATTAATCTTACAAGTAAATAAGACAAGTGATTGTGGAGCATCCAGAATAAGGAACACCTTCTACAAGCTCTGTGTCACCACCTCATGGATGTTTGGAAAGCAAACACAACAGAGAAAGCAAAAATCCATCCCTGGCTTACACATGAAGGGTTCCTGGAAGCAATCAGAACTGCTAAACTGTGTTAAGACAGGCTMCTTCAATCATCATACTGGGATTTAATGAAGTTTAATTACACTGTATGTTCTTTAATTTAAAAATAATTAAAAGCCGAGAGCTCAGTTTAGCTCCTTGTGACTATAAGGAATTTTACTGCAAAAGTGGTTCACACCAGGYACATAAGGGCAGTTTCAGTGTAATGCTCTGTTTCTCTAATAATGAAGACAAKCTTGAAAGAAAATTTAGCATAGTTAAGGACTTTTCTTTCAAAGTACATGCACAAATCAAGAGTTATCTTGGCATTCTCCTCTTTTAAAAAATACCAGCAAAATACTGAAATCATTCTAGAAAATAATTTAAGCAAACCAAAATTGCTCAAAGTTTTTACAGCTTACAGGCTACGGGAGCTTAAGAACAGGAATCTTTTTTGAAGGAATTGACGTGTAGGAGTGCCCTTAGTTCTTGATATGGGAATTTCAGTTATTCTAAAGTGTGACAAGTCTCTGTCTCCATACCTTTACAGACTACAGCAYTCACTTCTTTATTTTACTATCTGAACTAGCTAGAGAGGCTTTACTGTTGGCAAATCTTAAATGTAGGAAAATAAATTAATTTTTCTCTGACATGCAATGAACACTAGTGAACCAAMCTGCATCCTAGGCTCTTTATACTTYTGATCTTCAAGGTAGGCTAAATTTGCAATTTTGTTTTTAGTTCCTCTAAAACCAGCCAACAGATTTTGGGCCTACAATATTTTTCAGATTATCTTCCYCTGTAGTTCCTAGATCTTTCCCTCCAGAGATGTCACCCTTCAGCTTTGTTAGTTTATCACCTAACACAACTCTTTGCTGAAATGGGAGTTCACCTGACAGCCAAGGGGAATCTCCTGCTCTGTGTCTGCTTGCTGCCTCTTACTGAAGCAAGACTGCCAGCAAGCACTGTCCGAGCTGATAATTGTGAAGGAAATATTTGATCTAGGGTAACAGCACAACTAAATTAGTGTTTTAACCAAGTGTGACTGTGCAGGTTGTTTAGACAGCTCTCTAAGTATTTTCAATTATATTCTGTAATGAGAAATTAGGAATGAGCAGTGATAAACTTGGAGCACTGAATCTGTTGTGTAACTGTTCCTTTAATGGCTTCAATGAAAACCAAATGAAGCCTCTTTTCTTTGTTCTGAGAGTCACGACACTTACCTGGGTACACACACAGTTTCATAAGAATAAATGRTGAGTTTTCCTACTGACATTTGTARATTTTATCCATRTATGGGACAGCACAAGATGTTGTACATTTAGAAGTAAATGATCAGTTTGCACAGTACTGGAGAACAAAATAATTTTCATCTTGTCAACTGTTAATTACCTTTTTTTATTTGTTCTAARAACAGTAGGAAAAATCCAGCAAGAAATAGTAAAAATACCAAAATTGTAACATACAAAATATCATTATTAAAAAAAAAAAAATCCTGTACCAGTTAAAATCTACAACTTTTGAGGAAAATTATCAAAGTATTTTTCAACTCTGAAAAGAGGGTGGAGGCATTCATGGAAGTAGTCCTTTAAATAAAAGTAAGCATAAGAAACAGATGTGCAAGCACTCAGTATTTTAAGCTCTAAGAGTAAACAGGATGTGTTTTCTATCACAACCGTTGCAACGATTCAAACACGGATCTCCAACCTCCTATAGGAGTCCAACACTGGAATATCAGATGAATATATGTGGAGCAATAAGGACACCTTGAGGACAGTTAGAAAAATGCAAAAAATTTCWATTCTGCATTGATACGGGAGGATTTACACATCCTTTGTAAATCTGAATTATTTGGATTTGCCACAGGATGTAAATGATAAACTCTTAAAACTGTTTAGCAAAGTCCCACAGGTCCCAAGGGTAGTATTAATGCAGAGCTTGGCCAGAACTCCTGAAATACTACACTTTATGCTTACCAAATAGGTTCACTTACTTACTGGCAATTTTGAGGACAGACCTGTTCTTGAAACACAACAATCTTGTTGTTCTGAGTTGCTTTTTCCCTTGCTACAGAAATAAAAAAATTGCCTTCCCACTGCTCAGCATAGTATTACACTGTACATATTTTTAAAAGAAAAAGTATAAAAATAGTGAAAAGATKACTGAAGGAGTATTAAAGGCAAATCTACACAGAAATTAAACTTCCACAGTTCTTTGTCACTCTCTCCAAGTTTCAAGTATTCCTTTATATTTGTACCTCGAATAACTAAACATTAAAAAAAAGAGTGGGAAGAGGAAGAAATTTTATACCTCTAATTTTGCTTACGATTTTTTGCATGTGAAAAAGCACTTTTTTTTAGTCTAGCTCTAAGTTAGAACTGGAGTTGTGGGGCCATTTGTAGARCTTTCCGTTCCCTTAGTGCTATCTGCAGCCTTAGAATCATCACATATTTCAGGTGGCTCATTTTCCTCTGGCGGTGGTGGGGCRAGATCACTTGTGATCAAATCAGTTTCCTGATTTGGTTTTCCTACTTCACTGCAAAATTCAACTTTATCTTCCTGCTGGCTGTTCTTCTTTATTTGTCCATTCTGTGCAGGGTAGGTACTGGCAATGGTGTCATACAGAAACTGGTAATGTTCCTTAAAAAGAAAGAGAAGTTAGTGTAAATGGAATGGTCAGAGTCCAAAAATTAACCTATTCTTTCTCTGTCCTCTTAAATTTTAGAAATGTAGCATGTAGCTGAACAAACAAGACTGCATATGAAGCAGCTTCCACAGTTTTTAGCATGAAAGTGCTACTCCTATGGTTTATTCTGACTTCACGTGTACATAACCTCTCYGAAACTGTCTGCATCAGATATTCCAAGCTGTCACTCAGTACCCTCTTAGTTCACAAAGTACCAAAAATACAGTTTTTACAGTACCTGAGCTGTACGTGTTGTACTGAGTGTGGGAAAGTSATGTAATAACCTGCTCCACATCAACAACATCTGGCTCTGGTTTGTTGGTAACTGCACAGTGTGTGCCCCATGCCACACTGTCCCTCTGCAGTGACTGAAACAAAACTGTCACCCTGCAAATGGAGTTAACCTCCCAGCTGCAGAGGACAAGGGACACTGCMCGTACAGCATGAGCCAACTGCAGGAACAGCAAGTTATGCAATTTGTAATTTTATACTGTACTCCCTTTCCAAGGTGGTACAGAACTGCAGCTCTGGCAGCTCAGACTCCTTCATTCCTACGCCTAAATAGTGATGAGTGACAATGTTCTGATTAGAATCAGTGCTGCCTATACAGAAAATAGGCCCAARGTTATGAGGATATTAGTGACCATGATAAGTAATCTCTTTTTTTTTCCTGTTAATTCATAAGATTTACTTACAAAGGTGGAGACCACTCCCAGCCTGGTACGACGAAGAGATTTTACTACTTGGAAAACATCTATTACTTCTTCTATTTCTGCACTTTCCAAGAGGGTCATTAAAGCACAAAATACACCAGTCTGTTGTGATCCATCACTAGAAGATGATGTAAAACGTACATGTCAATTTAAAAAGTAAAATCAGAAGTCTTCTGAATAAATGCTACATTTATTTTAAAGTCTTCATAACACATTACATTTCTAAAGCATTTTTTACTAGACTGAAATTGTCACCATTAAGTATACATGTAGGACTCACACAGGACATGGTTTATCTACAGACTACCTGGAGCTGAAGTACCACTTAAGGGGAAGAGGGAAATTCAAAATTTCAGACTTACAGTCTCAATTATTGTTAGCAGGATTATCTTCTGCTTTAGATGGCATGCAAGGCTATCCCTGGAAATGGTCCTAAAAAAGTGCACTTGTTTACTGGAGAGAGAGATGATCCTAAAAAYTCTACTGATCTTCACTAGTGTATCCTGAAATTGTACTCTGACTTAGCATTTAATCACAAAATAGGTGCACCAGCCAAGAGCAGCTGCTCATAGCACCTGCTCTGTGCCCATGCTTGACCAAGAAAAGTGTGCCTGCTTTTCATCACTACAATCCAAAAGGTCAAGCTTGAGCAATTCAAAAAATCTTCTAGGCAGAGTTGAGTCTCCAGACACATGGAAAGGCTTGTGAGAAAAGGTAGACATCCCATAATTATCGTTGTTATGCATACACAGAACTTAGAGCTAAGTGAATGTATGTGCTGAATTCAGACTCACCAACAGTGGACAAGGAGAGGGACACTACGAGTTCTCCTGTTGTCCTCAGTGGCAGGTCTGGCTGGAAGTTTTTGTTTAATGTTGAGAATCATGCTGACTAAATCYTGGGGGGTTTCTGGAACATCACAGCCACTCCAATTACGGTACTGGTACTGATAGACCTTCTGAGTTTCTTTGGTCTGGAAAACAGCAGTGCAGATGAGGTTAATGCTCAGAATAAAAAGYAGATTCACGTAATTCACATAGGAGCTCTATTGCTGCTGATTTACAAAGGAAGAATGATATTCCTGAGGAACTGTGGGGTGATAGTTCTACCTCATGAATATGAGGTAGGTAGACATCCAAGCTTTGTTCTAAGTACAAAAGATAGCTGATCTCCTGAGACTCCACTACCACCATGTCAGCAACCCACTAAATGGGAAACTTGAGATAATTGATAGTATTTCTCATGATTGAGTGCTGGTCTGGAAGACAAAAATATTTCCATTTCTTAGAGCAGGAGGTAACTGCAGTGGGAACTGTCTCTTCTCTTTCTTGAGATTAAGTTTATAAATTTGTTTTTAAATTTAAAAACTCCTTGAAAACCTCCTTTTGGAATTCACAAAGAAACTTTTACCTTCAGATGTGTAACATCAAATGCACGTATAATGTAGCTGGGACCAGAGTTGACATCTGCCATTTGAACTTCTATGCCATCGTACGTTTGCTTTCCTTCTCCCCAGTACTGTGCACAGAGTTCCTATAACGGATGAAAGTACAAGTCAGTGATTACTACTGCAATCTCCTTTTATTTTGCCTTCCACATGCACTTACAGAATGTACTGACTTTAAAGTAAGAGGAGTTCCATCGTATTTTACAAATAGCATCATACACTTTTCCCTTAGAAATTTATTAAAAAGTAAATTAAGTAAGAAATGATAGAGCTAAATATATTGGAAACGCAAATTCCTCTTCCTATGGAAAACACTTTACAGGAGTGAGGGAATGAGAGAGCGCAGTGCAGTGTGTGTTTGCATGTGGAGGACACTCAATGTCAGTGTGCAGACAATGCTCCCACCTGATCTCCTTGCTTCAGCTCTGTCAGCATAACAATGACTTTGACTTTTCTTTGGAACACCATTTGCCAGAAGTCAGAGATAGTTTCCTGCAGGGGTCCCTGTGTTGCAATCATRGCTTTTGGACCCCAGTAACCCTATAAAAGAAATATATTTTTCTTCAATACATGTGAAATGTGATTGCCAAACAATAGCATTCATTGTCATTTAAGGAGTACTCTTTGAAATTAATTAATTAACCATTTTATTTATAGGGAAAACATGCCTATCACAGGAGGCAAYGGTCTTACAGGAGTTTTACTATTCAAATGACATAAAGTCAATCCTCCTAATAAGAATATCACTTTCAGATTGACAACAAGGTATAACGATGCTGCAGTGGGTGAGACCTCACCCCGCCATTTTTTGCAAAGCATATTTTTAAGGGATAAATCATTCAATTCTACTCAGCTCTTTCATTTTACCATAAAGAAATTGTTTTTATACCACACAAAGTTGGTGCACCAGTCAGTTCACACTGGGCTTCCTGAAAATAAAGACACATTTACCCTGAACAGGCATCCTCACTGCGCAGCATTTCAAAGTATTCAGATAAATGGAGCTTAGTTAGTAATTCCATTAAAATCAGTTCATTTGTGMCCAATAACTATTCTTCTTTGGATATATAATGATACCAAAAAATGGTTGGCTCCRATTTTCACTGGTAGGGTTTGATACATATGAATAACTACATTCACATCACCAACACAGACGATATTAATCTGGTTCAACCTGTAGACAGATGCCCACTAATAGAAATWCATGTTATCACGAGGCCAGTCTGAACGCTAATGGTTTTAAACATACATGGGTTTGCCAATCAGCTATCAGATCTTTCCCCCATATTCAACTGAATTCTTTTCTGTTGTGATGCCAACAAGAGAATAAGAGTTTTAGCTGAAAGCTTATGAAATGCCTACTGTGGATCCTCTAAATACATACAGTTACGAAGGAAGCATTGATGTATTTGCTTGATTCCTCACAGTCGCTGTCCTCATCCGAGGACTCATCTGAATCATGCTCACCCTCCTTATTGCAATCTTCTTCGTGCCTGATGGGCACTCGGTTAAAGTCATCTGTGTGAGACAAAGTGTCACTGTCACAGCACATGGCCTCCTGGGCATGGCATTAGTGGAAGGGAGGGAATAGAAACAGCCAGTCCTTCCACAACAGACTGCAGAACCAAGGCCACTTTGTTTGAAATGAACATTCCCAATAATCCACATTGTTAAAATCTCATCTCTTCTTTTTTAAACTCTATGAGAAGTTTCTAATTTTACAGTGCTCAGAACACTAATCCAATACTACTCTGTAAGGTGATTTGATCATTTTTTCAAAATATTTCTAATAGAAGATAAGAGATAAAATAAGGGAAGGCTCATGGAAAATACTTACATGGAATTACGTTGGCATTCCTATTTTTGCTTTTATTTTCCTCCCGGTTCCCAGTGTTCTGTGTCCGCCACCCCTTATAGGAAGGCAATCGCTAAAGAAAGAGGATGTTGGTATTAAGGYTGATTAAAAGGGTTTCTGAGATCTCTATCTCCTCAGGGTGCACCCACTCAGTCTTCATCTCACAGTGCTCACTCCTTTCTTTAGTTCTCTAAACTTTGGTCACACTGAACTACAGTTTAAAAATGCCAGCTACCCCATGTGCAATGGCACAGGAAATCATGCACACAGACACAAGTAATCATTCTGTGATCTCCATCTTTCTTAAAAAGATAACACCAAAGCAGAAATGTAATTTCATTAGTATGCTGCCTTTTTTCATGAAGGTAAAGAAAATTTCTGTGCCAGAAAATTAAAATAGCATCTCAATGATCTATTCTGTGGTATGTCTGTCTCAGGACTAGTCTCATGATTAGTCAAGGTTGTCTCCCACTTTCTGATGTAAGTGGGAAGTAAGGGTAACTGAAATGCAATGCTTATTTACCTGGAACTCTGCCTCCAGCAGAGAAGGATCACTTGGATGGTCTTTTCTTTTCAGACTGTTAAGGTAGGAATGCAGTTCTGAGAGACTGACTTCTGTCTCTCCATACTGATTGTATTCCACCAGTGCTTGATGAATAAGGATGTACTGTGACTGGTGTTTCCCATTTGAAGAGTTGAAGCATGAAGTTATTAAAGAGTAAAAAAAAATCATATTATGTTTTAAAATCATTATAAGAAAATATTACTTTCATTATATAAATGTTAATAATATTAAGCATTAAYATTAAACAGGCATTAAGTACAAGTATTAAAACTGTAAAATGCTGAAATAAGTTAAAAACATGCATGTCATTAGTCCATAAGTTTTGTTGTACTCAACTCAAATGAAAATTGCACTTAGGCAGACACATTTTAGAATTTTTAAAATGAAGTTTGACTTTGCAAGCTCAATTTTGCATTTGYGAATTGTATGCCAAAAAGCTGTTCTCTTTGGCTTCCTCTTCAAAAGTCTAAACTTGAAAAGTTGAAGTTTCTAAAACTGAAAAATTATGTTGGAAGTTTTTCTCCCTCTTAATATCTTTCAGAGCTTTATTTTCTATGAACAGCTTCAACTGAACTGAGCAGTGCACTTGTGAGAAATCCCAATGAAGTCCTAGCAAAGGAGAGTTGTGACAGGAGTTTTGGGGAGATACCTCCACTTGGACCATGAGGCATCGCTGCCGTCGCAGCTTCACGATGTAGCCATAAACATCCACTCTGCCTTCTGCATCCAGCCCCTCCAACATGGCATCAATGCCAATGTATGTCCCAGTGCGCCCCACACCAGCACTGCGAAGCACAAAGGGGTTTGGTTAGTGACAGGGAATGGCATCTCCCACTCTGAGGGGAGCAGTCCTTGAGAGAGTGACACTGAGAAAATGGAACAACAGGATTCAAAGTAATTGAAAACAGTTCTTACTGTAAACTAATTGGCAACACAAGAAATTATGAGTTTGTATTTTTAGTATCTTTTAGTGATTGCAAGGCCAACATGACCAAATACAGTGCTTATAGCCAGAACAGCCCAGCATTGATCTGCCCATTTTCCAAAAGACTGCGTATCCTCAGGTTTTATCAACTTGACTATCCTTCATATCCTTCAGAAAACAGCCCTTGTGTAGCTTTAACTGCTGCATTTTCAAGTGCTCAAGTCACAAAATCTGGGATCAGRCCAACAATTTTGCCAGCTCCCTTTCCTAAAGAGCTTCGTTTCACTCATTTAACATTACCGATWTTTTTTAAAACTAACATGTATTTACCTGCAATGAACCACTATGGGACCACTGAAAAAGTTGCTGAGAGCATTAACTCTGCGTCGGAGTTTGAGAAGGAGATGTGGATCCTCAGGGACTCCATGGTCTGGCCAGCTTGTGAACTGAATATGAGTGACATCTCTTCCAGCTGTCCTTTCTCTTCCCTAGAAAAAGTGAAGTGTGGTTTTTAACAGATATCAATCTATATATCTGTGTATGTATATATAAGTCTAAGTTACYAGATTAAAGCTCAAAGCATGTGAAGTGTTTAGTCGACTCTGGTACACTGTTGCTAGACTAAAAGGATGTACATTTYGATAACCATGATTAGAAAATCAAATGAGAAAAACATTTCAATGACACTCTTTTACTGGTCAAGATTTAGTATGATTGTACAGACACATCCCCAGTAATTAACCCCCAAATTCTCACTCRCAGTGCAATTATCCAGTGGTGGCAGAGTTATTCATACAGTTATTTGCCACTGTATACATCACTATTTTACCAGAACTGCAGAAGTTTCCACTTTCCTGCCAGGGACCACTCTTAAATTTCACAACCAATTTGTCTTTATTGATATGATGTCAGCTGAACAAAGAGTTGACAGCTCTAAAACTATCAGCCCTCAGCCTGCTGCAATCTCTCATTTCTTATGTCAGATTCCTCAAGTGACAGAGTGATGTCTTTGTAAATAGTTAATTCTTAACATCCTGATCTGCTCACTGACCACACAAAGTTACCACTTCCTTTTAATCAGACCTCTTCCTGAGCAAATTTTAATGCAACATGAGACAGCAGAATAAGAATTTCCAGCTGTAATCATGGATCGAGTTGGGTGGAACCTGTTGCCTTTGCTGAAGATCTGTCAGCAGATTTACTCTTTTGAATCTGAATGCTTTAACTATGTCCCATTTAYCCACATTGAAATATTTTGCAAAGGACCTGAGGGGTGCATTTAGCCTTTGATAGCAAATTTTGTTTTCAATTGCACATAGAGCAAATAATGTGACTTCAGATGTGTGAAAGACAGCAATTAACCAGCCTTAATGACTCTACACATATCTAAATGGTGATTTTAAAGCACTTATGTTTATAAATGCACTTTAGATTGCCATAGWTTGTAACTGTCTCACTGTACAATTATCATGAGGGTAGATAATGGTTATCTATGACTCATGCTGATTTTGGTTGAAGGGTTGTGATGAGATACACACAAACCAGAAAATTTTTTGTGTTGAAGAACAAACTAAATACATAAGGAAACCACAGTGTGGATATTAATTTTTTTAATAATTTGCAGCATATTAAGAGTTGAATCTTAAATGTAGRTTTATATTTACCTACATTACTTACACTGTAGGTTCCAGAGTATTAGAGAAAATACATTTTGAAGTTGGGAAATATATATCTAACTCATATTTCTTCCAAGAAATGATACCTACATCTAAGAAGTTTTCTTTCAAGCTACATGTTGCTTAGGAAAATACAGCAGAGCATCTTCCATTGAGAGCTGACTCTYCCATCTTAAAATACAGACTCCAAATAGACACTGCAGTTCCAGTCAGTCTCACACTTTTGAATCAACTCACATTTGTGATGTGTAATTTCTGAATGACGTAGTCTGGACATGTTTTACTTTCATTGATCTTCACAATGATGTCCCCATATGATGCAGTTCCATTCTCCATTGATGGCCAGTACTGGGCACATTTGTTCTGTAAAGAGATGAAGTTAAGTGAGCAGCAGAACAGCAAAGTATGAGAGAGCTGAGAGCTAGAAAAAAAAAAGCCTAATCTAAAGTAGATGGCAACTCAGATGACATCTCAGTTCCAAATATCCAGCRATTCTGGTCTCTGATCTGAAGTTTATGGCCGTGGAATTTTACTTCAGATGTAAAGTGGGGAAAAGGAATCCTGTTCACTAGTTGAAAAAATGAACAGTGACTGCTGCTGTTGCCTGATGGTTGTAGAAATGTTTGCAGCCACYTCCATGGGTTCTTCTTCAGCCTCCAGTGAGGGATGCTGCTCCTGTCTGCCTGTAACACCAGTTTTGGTGAGCTCTAAGTCTGCATGCTGTTAGCATCTTTAAATGCAGAGCTARAACAGCAGCTCCCCTTCTACCTCCTGTACTCAGAACAGGGAACAAAAGCAGGCCAGAAGCACCCCACCTTCCACTTATTTAAAGGCCAAAGGCAACAAATGAAAAACACTCTGTCTAGGATCTACTGAGGACACTGCCAGGATATCAGAATGGACAGAAGACAAACATAAAACCTTTTATGGCAGGTCTATGAGGAGCTAGACTTCTACCTTGAGTCCTTTTCTGGATTAATTAGCTGTAATTTGGAAGCTCACCCTCTACTACTTACAGCTGTGACTAAAGTGCTGTTTTCTGATAAGAATGGTAATTCATAACGTAACACTGTTTTTCCATGCCTTCCAACATGGGTTCTGCCACAGTAAGAGAACAGCAAAGAATGGAAAGAAATGCTAAGGAGAATATGTAATCCAGCACAGCACAGCCATCCACTCTGTTTTCTCAAAGAAGGATGGAAGGACAGAATGATGGATATTTCTCACCCTCTTTCCTTCCTCACAGCGAGTCACCATGACAATAATTGTTGCCTTCTGTTCCCAGATCATTCTCCAGAAATCATCTGTGGTTTCATCCTTGGGGCCTAGAAGGACATAATTTAAGGAACTTTTCCAGAGTGCAGCCACATGAAAAAAACACATGTCTGCTTGACATGCTTAGCCATGCAGTGTGAAGAGCTCAGATCGTGCAAATAACAGCCACACACTTGATTTCATTATGACTGCTGCCATTGGGCTGCAACATTCTAAGAGTCTCTTATGTATCTGTAGTGCATAGCKGTGCAATCTGAAAACTTATGGTGTAAAATTATACAACATGARAAATCTGCTTTTGAAGTACAACTTATTAATCCTCACAAAATTCCCTAAGCAAAAACTCACTGACAACTTTGTCATATTTTAAAATGTCAGATTTTCATTTTTCCTTTAAGYTTACAATTAGGATTTTACTACTCTAACAAAAATGGGTGAATAAGTAAAGCCTATTCTTTTAAAGCCATAAATTACCTTGTGCAGCAATATATTTCCTCGGTTCTTTGAAGCCCTGTAAAAAATACATTGTTATCAGCTTTTAGAAAGAAAACACCGACAATTTAAAAGATTTGCAGCTTTAAAAATAAATCATGCCAAATACATTACAAAGGTGAAAACAACTGAAATGAAAATCCTCAAAGGTGTTGATGCATCAAATGCAGAGACGACATGATTTCTTCCACAGTGTCTAAGATATTTTTTTCAGTAAAAGTCACTCACATCAATATAACTTGCATTGATGTAGTCTGATCCTGGATCTCCTGGTATCTCTGTGAGCTCAACACGGTTATGGTCATCTGTTTAAATCATTTAAAGCAAAATAATTGTATTACCTCAAGGCAGTGAGAAATTAAACATTTATAAAACATGTCAACATTATTACAAATACTCACATGGAAGAATATCAATGTAACGGTTTTTGTTCTGRTTATGGCTCTTTTTGGCCTCCTTTATAGAAAATTTGCTGAAAACTCTAGGAATACTCTGTAAAATACAAAACTTATTTTATTAGTTAAGCCTAGATTTAAAATTGCTTTTATTTACAGCCAAATGCATATGGAAATAAATTGATATTACTGAATCTGAAAGGCAATGTTCTACTTCATATGATACTACTCCATATATTTCTTATATCTAAAGTTAAAAAAAAATTATTCTCCTTAATATAAACAATACTTATCTCCACAGTTACATATTATTTATATCCCCATGGCTACTCAGTAAAACAGAGTACAAAAAATATGTATTAAAATGTACTTTAGAATGAAAAGTATTTAGACTGTTACTTTATACTTCCGCTGAAGAGCACCTTCAGAAAAAAAGCACTGTCATCTTACAATGAGGATAGATTGATAGCAAAACGAACTGAGGACAATTTGAACTCAGATGATAATTCACTCCATTTTCTAGATATTTGTTTATTTAATTCTAACTAGTCCATATACTTCAAACATGCTCCTGAGTGGAATTCTTCCAACCACCTGGATAAAATCCAGGTATATTTTGAGCAAAGGGCAAACCTGAAATTCTTCCAAGAAAAGCCTTCCTTCATCTGCAATCTTCCTCTTGTATGTGTCCAGCAGTAGCTCTGAAGGTATTGGCTCTATGTTGAGAAGTTGCTTGTCATCATCTTTAACTGTGTAAAGAAGTTAAACATTTATTTTTACAATCATAAAGTAACAATTGAAAAAATTTTAACACCTCTTACTTGACATTTATTAATTTTTCATTTACAGTGAAAAGTTGCACTTTTTAATAAYCATGCATCTAAGCAAATTGATTTGAATTTCAACATATTGCTTCTTCCCATTTAATGTRGTYGGTTTCTGTGAATTTTAGTGCTCTWAATTATTTTTATCTTGAARCTTTGTRTTRTTGACTGATCCTGTCTTTCTTCASAGGATTTGAAACCTTGTGCAAAAATTTGCACAAAATTTTCAGTTTCAGTCTTTGGGATTTGAAAGCCTTCAAAATTTTTCAGTAACAACTATGTTCAATCTCTTRTTTTGAAAAAGGTGCACAGAAAAGGGAAATTTTAGTTGAAACTGGTGKTAAACATATCACAAACATAATCTGACATACCTAAAATTTGGTTTGTAATTAAATAATAACTAAGAATTTTCCAAACACTGTTAAACTTGCAGTTCGTTCAAGTATAAATACTTCTGCTGTATACATACTAAAGTATTTTTCCCTGCAAATAAGGTTTTATCATGTTGATATCTATAATCAATGAAACAATTTAGAATATAAATTATCCAAAGGTGGCAGCAAGACCTGAGACTAATTTTATTTCCACTTGCTAAATACRTAAAGGTACTCACCTGCAACAAGGTTCACGCCCTCAGAAGAATTGCTGCAAGAAGCAGAAGCATCTATAAATGCTTTGAATATTAAGATATATATGATAATAAGTTAAATAAAAGCAGTTTTCCATGACAACCCTAGGGCTGTTCTTAACCAGCAGCCTGTATTACAAGCTCTGTGTGAAACAGGAGTGCTAAAACTGGGATTATGCAGAGGTGGTTGGCATCTTTGTCCTCCTGCCACCCTACCCTGAGACAAGGGGGACACATCAAAAAGCTTCACTGCCTGCATGGTTTTGCCCATATCACCTACAACAACCATATATTTAATTTCTTCACTGGAGTCATTGCTCAAACCATCTTCACTTCTCTTGCTAGTAACAGAAAACTAACACATGAAATATAACAAAATTAAGTTTAAATGCTAGGTAGCCAAGAACAAGCCAGACTCTCTGGAGCTGTACAAGCAAAAATCAGTTTTGCTTTTCTAAGCATARAAGACTGATGTGAGCAAGAGCAGCTCCCTGTCCCCTAAGGAAAAGAGCAGGGAAGGAAAAGGGGCTGGAAGAGCTGAGTCACCAAGTTCTGTTGTTGCCAGAGGGCTGAGAGGTTTCAGAAGGAATCACCCAAACTCTTGTATCTCTACCAGCAGCATGTGCCCCTAAGGAGAGCAGCACTGAGCCTGCTTTGCAGGGCTGTGGCACTGACATTGGGGAAGGGAATGGCCATCCTGCGATTGCCACCTGCTGTCCTACAGAACTGCTGAGCCACCTAGAGCTCACCGGAATAAACAACACCTCTCTGAGATAGTTATGAATGAACAAGCTTTGGAAAGAGTTCCAAGAAAATGTGTATTATTTTCATTACTTTAGATTTAAATCATGAAGAACTGTTTTCCAGACGTTTGCAGATATTTTTTTCACAAAACTAGGGACATTTTGTTCTGTGTCTTGAACAAGGGTAGAGCAGAGAGATTTTAAATATAAATCATTGTTTTTGCTTTGTTAAACAAACACCAAAAATTCAGTTTCTTTTGAAGGGATTTAAAGGTAAAAGTATATATTTTCCCAGTATTAATGAAACATCATATTGCCACTACGCACTATGAAATCTTGTGGAAAAGTCAAAAGCACACCCCAGACCCTCCCCCCATTTATGTAAGAGAGGGAGAGAAACATGAAGCTTACCTAAGCTTTTTTTTGTGAAGCTCGTAGATTTTGTACAGAACCAGTAGCAAAGCAATTGATGTCACAATGATCAAGAAYGCCAGGAATATAATCAGGGCTTTAGAATTATCTAGCAACAGGAAAAGAATATATTTATTATTTTTAAATTACTTACAAAACCAAAACCAAAATAAACTGTGTACTCCCTAGAACCAGGGCTCATCGTTTTTTGCTTTGGTTTTTTTTTTCTTCTTTTTAGAAAAAACTGAGCAGTTATTTGAAAGTTTTTGGTTTGAGTTTTCTATGCCAAAGTAAAGGAGGGAAATTTATGTCTTCATTAAGAAAACTTTTGCTTAAATTCTCTATGTCCACCTGTCAAAATGCTGCAGTTCACTAGTTCAGCATTCCTGTGTTTGTCTCCTGTCCTCTGTGACCTGTACACCTGAGCAGTGCAGCTCTCACCTGATCCTGATTTGGGAATTGCAAATCTCTGCCAAGTCAGAGATGTTCAGCTCCTGAAATGCAGGAYCTGAACACAGGAAAATAATCCTAAAGTGAATTATGTAAGTTAGAGAAATTAATTTCTATTTGCAYTTGAATGTTTCCTGAAGAAACCAGAGCTGTGTAATAATTCTGAATTATGATTAATAACTTGTCAACATGATCTGTTACACCAATACTGAATGGGGATAATATTTTTCAAATGCAGATCAAATATTAAGTATAAAACAGGCAGTTTGAATTTTTAATTAGGAACAATTTACCAGAATTCACATTTTACATTWTTTATATTTTGCTGAAATCTAAAGGTAAAGATGCTGTATGTATTTACTTACATCTGGTTTTTATACTCCCCCCTGCTGGTGGCCCTCTGTGTTTTCCATTGAACACCAGGATCTGCATGCAGTGGGTGACAATAACAGAGGTATCAGGATATGACAAATAAAAATTTTTGCATGCAGTTTTTACAAAAAAAAAAAAAAAAAAAAAAAAAAAAAAAAAAAAAAAAAAAAAAAAAAAAAAAAAAAAAAAAAAAAAAAAAAAAAAAAAAAAAAAAAGTACAAGGGGTATTTGCAATGAATCCATCTCTTGAAACCTCACTGGCAGCTGTATCTGCTGTCAATCTCTGTATAGATATTTACAGTACAGCTCAGGTTTCTACCCAAGCTACAGTAAGATCTAGACCCACAACCACTGAAATGACAGGAAAACAGAGTTAAAAAAATAGGAAACACATTTAAAAAAAATAAAAAATCAGATGCATCTCAAAATAAAATCAATTTTATTTGTAATCAGGTCTCTCAGATCTGAAAAATAACCATGCAAAATATAAAAACACCATTTACTWCAACACTAAATATACAAATAATCAACTAAATTTGATGGTTTTAATACAAAAAACTGTATGGAAAGTAATTTGTGGAAGTTTAATTAAAYAAGCTTCTTTCTTGCATCATTAACTAAACAGATCTAAAAGGCAGCTTGCAATTTGTACATCAAATATTTCACACTGATTTTCTTTTTCCTCCTGAGCTTTCTTATAACTTGACCAGAGTCCTTTCATTATCAGCTAAGGCCATAAGGCTTTGTTTTTTGGGTAAGAATTGAGCAAAATAAGTGCAAAGCTTAAGCCAGGGTTTAGAGGCACAGAACCAWAGACCTTCTGTAAGGAAAACTGCTCCCTGAAAGTGGGGGACAAAGAGCTGACAGTGGTGTAGGGRTCCTGTGCTACAGGGATGTTGCAAGGATCTTTTGCTCCTACAGGACCTCATCTTTATTCTCCAAATATAAACCTCTCTGACCAGAATCTGTTGGGAAAACACCGACAAAATCTTGGAATATAATTGAGACTAGTCAAGCTCTCTGATAGTKCATTTCTGCAGGTGAAAACAGAGAAAGRAGGAAAAAAAMCTGCTTCCTAAAATTAGTAAAACTCCATAATTGTTCCTGGTTGSTTTCTGGCCCAAACTAAACTTTACTGAGAGGAGTTATCAGGATATAAAGAGGGAATCACTCAAGACCATTGGTTTTGCAAGCAACAAATCCCAAAAGGGTGAAATGCCTGGCAGAAGAGAAAATAGCAGGAGGCCTTCAGGAAACTGAAGYTTGCAAACCAACTGGATGATATATTTTGTATAGAAAAAGGACTGGCTTGTAAAAGGCTGATGTAAGGGCACTCAAAAGGGTCTGAACTGCTTTACACTAATTCAACCCTGAAGAAAAATAATCTTCACAGGGAAAAGATCTGAACAATTTATCTCTGAGCAATTATCTCAAGATTAAAACCCACACTTTGATTGAAATGACAGCCACATATTCATGAAATTGAATGAGTTTTGAAAACTAAAATATCAGTCATACTCAATAAACTATTTTAATTTTATAGAAACCCCAAATTTCTCTCTGATTCAAACACAATCTATTCTGCTTGCATTTTTCTTGCTGTCAGAACATATGTGGAATGGTGCACAAGGGATTGTTTGATAGGTTAGGCACACATGCATTTCAGTTCCAAACTAATAGCTAATTTTTAACAGCTAAGGCCTACAGATCCATAGATTAAATCCCCTGCCACCAAGTTTGCCTTTTTTTCTAAAATCAAGTATAATATGCTTAAACAATGAAAATGCAGCAATATTTTATCTATTCTAATATAATACTACGGCAACTTACCTGAAATTTATACATTGTCAAGTACGAGAGATTTTCCCTGTTAAAATTGCAAGTTGTATTGCTTTGATTTTTTGCCTCATTGTTCCAAATCAATTCAAATTTTGTAGATGGCCCAAACACCTTYTGTTCTTTGCACGTAATCAGGACAGCATTATCAGCTGTCAATACTGCATTAACATTAATCACTTTTTCTGGTTCTGTATGCAAAAAAAAAAAAGTTACTAGTTTTATTGTAATCATTTTAAACCCAACATTTCAAGCTTTATGTGTTCATGTCTGTTTATTATCTTCTCTCAATAACTCCATACATTTTTCTCCTTAAGAATTTCAGTCACAATTTAACCAGATAAGYAAAATCAATTTTGATTTAACCATAGGCTTATCTGAGCTGGAAAATGTGTGAATTGTAACTGAAAAGGCTCTACTGACAGTCAGATTGCAAAGATAGTATGATGATAAATCTCTCTCTTGCATCAGACATCACTTTCTCATTTGAGGAACATGAGGCAATAGACAAGACAGAGGTAAAAAGAGTTCACCATGTGAGTATTCCTTTCAAAATTTCTGTAAATGAAATTTCCTACCAGGAATCATTGGCATATTGYAATATTTGGAATAATGTCCTTTCACTTAAAACTGGCCTAAAGCTGCAAAAACTTTTTAATGATATGGAATCGGTTAATTCTAATCTGTGTTTTCAAACTCTAGTTTTGTATGGTGCAGTAAATGTTGCAGGTTTCAGACCGAGGAGCACAGCCAAGGGACTTCTCAGTGAGAGCCAAAGAAAACYTTTCTGAAAGTAAGTGAGGCAGTCCCATTAGCCACATTTCAGTAGAAATGAAAACATATTTTATAAAATGTAAGGATTTTCCTACTTCCAAGGAGCTGTGCTCTACTGATACATTCTCTGGTTCAAGAAGCCATGAAACTTCCACTTCCTGCTGTTATCAACTGTTGTGATTGTTTGAGATGGTCTCATTTATACCATTAAGGCATAAAGCAACTTGTTATTTTCACAAAAAAATAAAGGAATTTAGGTTGTTTTCATACCCATAAACATTAATCTTGCCCTGAGTTGCCAAAATATGAGTGGAAACCAGAAAGCAGGGGCTTCAAAAGATTTTCATAGAGAGAAGAACCATGATCACGCTCAAATTAGGGCTACCTAAAGATTAAAGCCATATTTAWATTTCCATTACATTTAAGTCTCAGATCAAACTGTTTACATTTATCAARATGTTGATATCACATGAATTTATCAGATTTTCCATTTTTTTTGCAAACAGGTAACTACAGAACAGAAGGTACAGGCTGCATGTCTTCGTAGCTTTCATGCCACAATGAAAAAAACCAAATATTTTTACTCTCCTCTTGTTTAATTCAAATATTTTCTTTAGATTGGGACACAATGCTTCCWAAAACCTTAATGAGATTTTCAAATTAATTAAGAACTTCATTTTAAAATGATATGTGAGAAAAATACTAATACCAAGTTTATAATAAAGAAATAGATTAACATTAAGTAATTTAAAAGGGATTCTAATTATATTAATGTCAATACAATTATTTTCATGTGAATCATTTGAAAATAATTTCATTCATTTCACATAATTTTCATGTGCCATTTCTTGGCAAATAGTAATACCACATATACAACATAATGAACTACATTAGGAGAGTACTTATTCATTATGTTAGTATCAGCCTTGTTGATAACAGTTAGCAAAAAAGAGATTTACCTCCTGCCTGTGTTGTAAATTGACGTTTTTCACTTCCACCCGTAATTGTTTGGTTGTGTTTGTTGATTGTATATGAAGTCACACATACAGAACCTTTGGTATAAGGTTCAAATCCATCGAAAATATAGGAAGTTGTGTTGGTTTCTATCTCTTCATCTGAAAAATGAAATTAAATAATGAAATCTATTTTAGGAGGGCAGGAATGCTTACACTTCATCAGAGATATCCAAAACCTCTGAGATGTGTATTTCTATTTTCATTACMTTATACTTGGTTACTTTGTTCTGGTTACTAAATGAAGGCTCAGGAAGAGAAGGAAACATATAAATAGATAGAGACTATTTCTATATAAAGAGTACAATCAGGTAGGGGTTAGTAGAAATGTGTCACTGCACACTGGGCAAGTCTGTTCTGGTAGGACACCAGAGGTGTCAGGGTAGTCTTGCTTTCAAGAGTGGCAAACAGCAGAGAGAGGAATGGCATGGGCAGTAACATGAGCAAAGCCACTGCCCTCACTGCAGCTGGGGCTTTGGTGGCTTGGGGGACTGCAGAGCCATGGCCTTTCCATGTTTCCTTCTGCCTGCTTCACATGTGGCCTCCCTGCACCCACAAATTACTCTCTTGATCGCTGACACTGGCCAAGCCAAGCCAACCACAGAAACTGGCTCACAGGGCTGCCACCCTTTTGGGTAGTGGTCAAATTTGGGGCATGGAGAATGGTAAAGACTATTTTTATTGGGGGCACAGGAACATGATGGCCTTTGCTTCCTGGGGCAGCCCAAATTTACATAACCTGCAGTATGCAAACAGAAAGGCTGAATGAAGCCTAAGTGATAAATCAAGCCAGGACTAGCTTAAAACTGACACATATTTATTATTATCAGACTCCTCATTTTAAAAACATCATTTTCCAGCCCTTGTTTTGAAGAAAAGCTTGCATCTGGAAAATGTGATGCCAGTACAATGGACACAAATTTATTCATCGAAATGTAAGGTGGCCTAAATTAGCATATCTGAAAGGAGTGGACATTTAGTAGAAGACAATCCCTTGGCTATACCTATGTAAAYATGTTTATGCCTAACTGCCATATGTTTATGCCAACTGAAGGGTGACAGGGTTGTATTCCTGACATGGTAAACTGAATAATCTTCACTGAAGCTTCAACTACAACAACTTTAAAGGAAAGAAATTTAACCATTTGTTTAAAAAAAAAWTTCAGTCTTAAGAGATTCCAATGTGGCTTGACAGTGCATCTGTAATTATGCCTACACAATGCATTACTTAACAGTGAATATACTTACCTYTGTTGTCCAGAGTCAATTTCACCCGGTAGCCATGTATGGGACCGTTTGAAGTGTTCTTAGGTTCCATCCATGTAACTGTTACACTTGTAGAGCTTTCAGACTTTACTTCAAGGTTTTGTGGTGCTTCTGGAGCTGTTGTAAAAGAAAAATAACAATAATGAGCAATAAATGAAAATGAAAATATTCCTCCTTTTATTTACTTTGACTAATTAAATTTCATCAGACATTACAGCAAGATACCGTCATGTAATATTTTTTCTACTCTATTTCATTGCAAGAAATTATACATAAGTATAAACAGAGTATATGTAAAAGCCTCATATTACAGTAATTCCATACATTTAATTAATTCAGGACAGGGTAAATACAGTAACATCATATTTTACTAAAATTGTCCAATGTCTTCAAATCGAGAATTTGTCTTGTTCCAAACTAGGCCTGCACTTTTTGTGTGTGTGTGTGTGTGTCTTCATTCAAAATTCCTTATAGCTGGCCATGTTCTCAACCTTCCAAACAACAGCAAAAAATAATCACAGTCTCTGTGGAGAGAAAGGCATCAAACTGGAAGACAGAAAGGGTGACTGCAATCAAAGAACAACCATAAGGGCAGGAGATCAGGAAGGAGGAGCTGAAGGACAGCCTGAGTGTGGCTGAGAATGCTGCTCAAAGTGCATCTTCAGCCCCAGAAAACACAGATAATGGGGCTCACTGTAGGGGTTCWCAGAAATATGTGGAATGTAAAGCAAAAATAAGCATTACACTTACCACCATAGTCTGTCTGTATGGCAAAAGTTTGTTCGGGAACCTCCTCTTTATTAAAGCTTATGGATCCAATGCAGTGGTAATCACGGTTGGGTGATAAATCTACCAGCTTTTTACAAATTTGACTTTTATSTTCAGAGTCTGGAAAATGTGAATTTGTAGACAAAAGAAGAGTTTTATCAACATTTTTCACAGTTCCAAAAGTATGTGGCACCATTTTAACCAGGATTTYCTGTACTATATTTATTTGATGCAATCGGTAATAAACTATCATAATACTCRAAACAAAAATGTACATGATCCAATGATCCTAAAACCTAGGTTTTAGGTTCTTACATTCTAATTTAGTTTGCATAGATCTTTTTATCAGTGAAGGTCATATGATTTGATTTTCTAAGGAAACAGCTTTCCTACAGAAATCATAACATTTCATGGGATTCTGGCAGAACTTTGGAATGGTTTGCAAGCTCTTTAGCTCCCTGAAGCAGGAAATTTCCAGCCCCAGACATTCATCACCCATTTTTCCAGGACACATGAGGACATTCCCTATTTCCCTGTCACACGAGGTGCCTTTGAGGCAGCATGTCCTCAAGCTGGCTGGCTCTGAGAGCAGAGAGCCTGGCCTCCCACCATCCAGGAGCCTGCACAGCCAGTGGGATGCAGCCTGAGGGATCAGCTCACAGCAGAGCCACTGCCTGCTGTGAGCTCAGTTCTCCTTCAGAAAACCAAATAGGATCTCAAAATCTGCAGTCTGTGAGGCTGATAAAGTCAGCAGAAGAGCTCYCTGGGTTTGAACTTTCCCAGGTCTGGAGTGTGTGGGGATGGTAGTCCCCCAGCTGGCAATCACAGGAATTCTGAACTAMCTTTCCCCCAGATTGAAATCTGCCAATCTCTCACCAAAAGACATCAACAATGATTTTAAAGATWAAAAAATAAATAAATCACCCACTTTCAGGAATCTCTACAAGTGGTGTCCCATTGCAGGCAACAGCCACTTTAGCACAGGCAAGTGAGCTACTCCAGCATAACGTGGCAGAGTTGTCGGTTGTGTTCGTCACTTCAAAAGCTGTTTTGGCGACTGAAAAGGAAGAATATTACACATCACTGTGACATTGGCTATATTGATTTTTTAAATATCAGTTTGTTCTTTTATGCTTTTTTACTTGTTCTGCAATAGACAATTGGCATAGAATAATATAAAAAGAATTTAACAAGAAATGGAAAGTAAAAATTGAAAAAGCCTTCATGAGATAAAGACACACAGGTATTTAAATAATGAATTAAAGTTTTAGTCCACACATTCAGCATAAGCACCAGCTTTGAAGTCGTGGCTTGTCTTGTTATTTTTTACCACACTGCATATGGGCAATTCAATTCCCTTTTTTCCTTTACAATTAAATAATTGCATATTGTTTACATTATCCTTCAAGAAAATACTGAGAGATTTTAATGTGCAACTTCAAAATATCTTGCAAAGTATAAAAATTGGACAAAGTATAAAAATTTTCTGTCTGATTATCTGAAAAGCAACAAGAATAGACAAAGAAACCTAGGAAAGCTGAATTACTGCATATCTAGGAAAGAAAAAAGAAGAAAGAAAAAAGAGAAACTACTAAAACCCTTGTGCACCTACCTTCTGGAACAMGAAAAGGAGGAGTATTGTCTGAACAGTTGCCATTTTTAACTTTAGCAGTGTATTTCTTGCATAGTGGAAGCTTTACTGTATGGTTGCTGGAACTCACAGTCATGTTTATGCCATCCCCCAAAATAAAATATTCTCTGTCTTCTTCAAGAATTTTCAGTTCAACTTGAGCATCACTGTTGCTTATGGAGCTTATGTTTTTAAAAATATCTAAAGAAAAGCAGCAAGCATTAATTTTATAACAACTTTTGAAAATTTTAATTTCTTATGGCACCCCATATATGTGTTAAGAATCAGAAAATACTACAAAATTAGTTGCTCCTTATTCTTTATTTTATTCATTTTTTAAAAAAATCTACCTTTTACTTGAAAAAAACTTTATTCAAAACAGAAAGTTCTCTTAGAAAAAACATTATTTTAAACAATTCTCTAGTTAAGAAAACTAAAGAATTAAAAATATGATCATTCCAGAAAGAGATTTTTTTTCATTTAAAATGTTCAAAGTGAAAGACTGTGTTTGGAAAAATTGAATCATTTGAACAGAAATTTCACTTTTTCTTATTCAAAGCATTTCATAACAATCTAGTAAATAATGTCTATAGTTTATTCTTGAATATTAGAGAAGCTTCTAATTCTGAAAAGATATAAACCAATTTCCAATCTTCAGTTTTGCTTTAATTGTGAATTACATTTTGCAGCATCTGATTATCAGCATGATGGGGACAAATAGAGAGGGCCTAGTGCAAGGAAGCAGATCAGCTCTGCAGCCCTGGTATCCTGCAGGTCCTTTAACAGAACTGTAAATGGAGGTAAGGAGACCAGAACTATTAAATATCTTTATTCCTATTTCTTCCAGAACTGGAAGAATAAGCCAAGATGCTAATTGAGCAGTTTTATTCTTTTCCCGCTTTATCAACTTTATCAATTTTCTGTATTTGAGTTTACTATTTGGTCACATTTCCAGACTGAAGGAGATTAAGGGGTTAGGTTCTTACCACAAGATGCTACAGGTCTCGCTGTGGTAGTTTCTATAAGAAAAGAAAACAAAATGAAGGTCTGTCTTAGCAGGTTGGGTTTTTTCCACAGAGCATTGGAGAAGGGTGACCAGTACTGCCCCAACTTCTTTGTTCAATATATTCAATAAAAGTAAATGTATTTAACAATCCTCTTGCATGTGAAATAGGGAAGAAAACATCAGCTACATATAACCCCATTTTTAAGTTGTTATTTTAGGGATCATGTGTCTTTCACAGTTTTCCAATGACATCAGTGAACTAGAAATCAAACTGGTTATTAATAACATTTCTGAATACAAAGTTACACAACCATATTCCAAAATGACACATTCTCAAAGTGGTATGATAAGTTACAGCAGTTTTCCAGGACATGTATGCTGTGGAATGGGTAACTGAGCAATATAAAATGTCAGCAAAGAAACAAAATTTACCTGCTTTTTGCACTGTCACTCTTACCTTTGGAAAGAATTTTATACAACAGTACAGATCGTTTAATGACTATTTTACACTGAGATACCGGAAAGAAAGTTTAGCTGGTATTTTCTGTACAGATGCTTGAGCAAAGAACTTCATCCTGAAAACAGTTACTTAAAATATCCCATGCTAAAGGTGTGACCAAAACATACTGCTATCCTATTTGTTCATAGAAGACAGGGTCTAGATTTGCCTCCCTCCAGGCTGGGAGGTTCCTGGCTGGACAGTGATCCTAAGGAGGGGACAAACTGAGAGGGACCACTGGAGAGTCACTGACATTGTTTGGGGCAGAACAGCCAGAAGGAAAAGCTGAGCTCAGCTTGTCCAAGAGCAGAGAGCAGCCCGCAGTTACTCGAAGGACAGCTCAGAAAGGGTGAGTCCAGCTCCTGGATGTGCTTTGAACAAGCACATACAAATAATGTAGTGACCCAAGTAACTCCTTACAGACCAATTGCAGTTAAAGTTTCTGTTAGTACTTGCACTATTAGATCCCAAGGAAATGTTGCTACTGAGGGAAACAAAAGGGGAGACACAAGAAAACAGAGAAGCACACAGATCTTCGATGTATTCACACTTTTTTACTGCTTGGGCAAATTACTGTGAATAAGAAGAGAAGAACTGACACAATAATTACCAGATTTAAATAATTCCTATTTTCCCACTTGCTTGACAAGTAACTAATCTGGTATCTTCAATATTACCCATAAACAGTTAGTAAGATTCCTAAAGACATCCTTAAGTTTAATGCAGTTGTCTGCCTAAATTGTATGCTTAGGTTTGATGAATTCTAAATGAATTGCCTCATTCTAACCCATTTTCTGTGCCTGATGTATCATAGTTGCAGTAACTGTGTGCAAGTTTGTCACCTATTGTGTGAGTGGAGCTGAGAGTGGGGCTGATCCCAGTGCTTGCTGGCATGCTGACTGGTGAGGTGGTGCTGTGCAAGGATGTTGAATTGTGATCATCTGTAAGAAAATAAACAACATAACAGCATTAAGAAGTGAAATTCATTCTTTCAYATGGCTTTGTTGTCAGAAATGTCTTACACTACAGCCCTTCTCTCTTTTTTTTTTCCTTAGGTGGGGTTTGTAATTTAGAGAAGATTGCTGAAAGAAAAGTCATGTTAATCTAGCAAATAAACCAGAAAATGAGTATTTAAATAGAAATCAAATTTTTACAATGACTTTTGCACTGTATAATGATTATTATCTTTGCCATTATTTAGTCATAATCAAAGCTGAAATCAACATAAAAATAATGTTACAATTTGTGAACTGGGAAAAACTAGAACATTTTGCTATATTCTTACAGTAAAACACAAATATGAATACTGCTCATGCTGTTTCAGAAACAACAGCTCTAAGTAGACCAGATCACATACCTTGTTCACTGTATCTCTTACTATAGCTCAGTATTTACCTCTCTGTTTATAAACCAGTTGCAGGTATTTATATTCTCTTTTAGACTCATCTATTGCTTTAGCTATGGGAACAGCCTTGTTGGCAGCAGCTGGCATTTTGATGCTACTGTGTGACTGCAAGACTTGGCCCTCAACTACCAGATCATGCAAATAATCCCAGAATTGTGTGTGCCGAACAGCAGACACCTTTTCTGTTTGATGAACCATAGGCTGAAAAACGCTACCCTGGTGCTGAAGGGCTTAGCTTTCCCTTAGTTCTGAGAGTGGCTGCTAAAGAAGCCGGCAAACCTGARGAAGCATCCCCGGAGGCAGAGGGAGTGCGTGCGGTGGGAGCAGCAGCGCTGCTGATGCGTGCGGGGCTGCTCGGCGCCGTGCCAGGGCTGGGGAAGTGCGTGCTGTTTGCGGGAGTGGCACCTGTGGTGAGAGGCACAGCGGCTTCGTTAATGTTCACGGGCATTCACAGCTCTGCCCGGCCCGGAGGGACACACAGCTGTGCCCAGCACACACTGCAGTGCTGGAGCATTGCACTGAGACTCTGGGAATTTTGGGAAGCAGAGGCACACCAAACATTTGAAGTGCAGAGGATTCAACAGGTGTCTGATGAACATCCAGTGAGGATATTCCTTTTTTGGTTATGATTGCACCTTTCATGCTAAATGCTGTGTTTTAAAACATACTCAAATRCATCACTCAAAGCCAGACTTGTCTGATATTCTTGTCCATTAAGACAGCACATTTCATTTCATTGGGTGAATGAAARGGCTGTATATAACTGTGTGCAAGAAAATGAAAGAAGAAATTATCAGAAAAAAAAAACCCCAATGCAGTTCTGTCATGTAAATTCAGTTTCTTACCAGGTGTGGTCGTTATCTCCTGTCCTGAAAAAGAGAAAGAGATAGAAAAAGTGTAAATTAAACTTTCAAGGAATTAAACACCATCATTTTACAAAAAYATAAAAAGACACATTCCTTCCTCCCAATTATCAGCTAAGCTTTCCCCAGGAAATTATAAATTCTTAAGTAATATTTAGTGGATGTAGCAACAACCAGACTTCCAAAATACCAAGCATATGGTCATAGAATCATAGAATCATAGAATCATGAAATCATAGAATCACAGAATGGTCTGGGTTAGAGAGGATGTTAAAGATCATTTAGTTCAAACACCCCAGCCAAGGGCATCAGGCCATCCAGTAGATCAGGCTGCTCAGGGCTCCATCCAGCCTGTCCTTGAACAATTCCAGACACAGAGCATCCACAACTTCTTTGGGGAACCTGTTCCAGCACCTCACCATCCTCACAGTAAAGAATTTCCTCGAACAACTAATCTAATCTAAATCTCTTGTCTTTTAGTTTGAAACCATTCCCCCTTTTTCCTGTCACTATCTGCCCATGTAAAAAATYATTCTCTTTTTTATARGMCCYCTTATTAGGATGTGTTCCATGATTTTCCAAGCCAGAGGTAAGGCTGCCCAGTCTGTAGTTCCCTGGATCTTACTTTATCCYTTTTATAAAAAACAGGAGCGATGTTTCCCTTTTCCCAGTTACTGGGGACATCACCTGACCRCCATGACTTTCCAAGTGYGATGAGCAGTGCTTTGRGAACAGCACCAGCCAGTCCCCTCATGTCATCAGGCCCCAGAGAACTGCTGCTCTTTCATTTCGGTCTCAAACCTGCTCTTCTCACCCATAGTGGGAGGAACTTTGCACCCCCAACCAGTTCTCCCTTCTCATTTACACCCTCCTTGGCCATTCTTGTCTGGCCAGTGCACTGACAGATCCCCTTGTTATTCTTCATGTCCTTTGCCAAGCTCAGGTCACTGAACCATGAGTTTCTTCTCATCACTGTATCTTTTACTAATTTTGAGGACTGGAAGCTTCCAATTTAACACAAAAATCCTGAAATCCATCCCAAAATTCTCCTCAAGACATCCCTCTGTAACACAGACTGCTATGTTTTCAGTAAGGAACAAACCCACTTGTTCATACATTCCTTGTTGCGATTATTGTACAAACTTCCCTCCACCTATCTGGCTCTTTCTTCCTCTTTCTTTTTTTCACTCTCTTTCTACCAGTTCTTACCCACTAAGTTTGTTTCTTGGAATTTCTTTTTTCTCTTTTTTCATGGCACTTGTTTTTCAGATAGTACTTCCCTGTTTATAATTTCTCTGTTACTTCAGCTTCCCTCCATGGCACTTCACAACTGCTGTAGCACTACTCTTTTGAAAATAAACCCTTTCAACCTTTAAAGCAAAAATCCAGGTTTATGTGAAAACCTGCAACACTTGTGAAGGACACATAAGTATCTCATTCCTGTGCCAGCATCAAAACCATGTCTCTCCTCTCTGACACAGAAGATCAACACAGACAGATCTCCTGGGACTCCAGAGGTTTTCCTCCTTATCGACCTGACAAGCAGCAGCACACATGTTGGCTGCTCAGTGGCCACCACRGATTCTACACCCCATATGGACAGTTCAGAAGGCTGACAACAGCCATTAAAAACACACAACCAGTGACAGCAATGTCACCTGCAGAGAGGGAGCAATTTCTTGGTGCTCAGAACTGTCATGAAGTGTGTYGGAACCATGATATGAATATGAAAGTAAACAAAAGATAAAGTCTTGCAGATACTTTTCTAGTGAGCAGCTGAATTTTTGTGGACTGTACATTATTCAAGATCTCTTATTATAAATTAAAACTTGTAAAAAGACAGTAGCCTGATATCCTCCATCTTATCATCTTATATCTTATCTTATGAACTATCAATGTACTTTCAGCATCTGAAATCTCCTATTTGCAACATTTCCCTACAACAATTGCATGATGTATATCTATATACATTCAAATGCTGAGAACCCTGTAAAAGCTAACGTTTATATCTACTCATATTTGCCATGAGCAATYAATTTTCAATGTATTTTCACAGTTTTTTCATGCAGTGTTTGACAGCTAGAAATTGGTAATTCTAAATTTYATAATGTGATTTTTCTTTTTTTCAAATGGTTTATTAGCTGTAGAATCAATTATTCCCCTTCCTTTTCCAAATTTTCCTTTGGTTCAACACATCAAATATACCTCAAGCCAAAAATTAACTTTCTGTGAGCATCAAGACACGTCAACTTCCACTTGAAAAACTTTTCCGAGAACAGAATAAAAGAAGTTGCAGAAGAAGTCCCAAATTAAACTCTGCTCAGATTAGGGAAACATTCAGAAATACTTTTCAAGCTATTTACTGATTCCTGATGCAAACATAATGGAGAGAAAACCATATCCATCAAGATTCTCTTTTCCCAGTTAAGTGAGGTAATAAGAAAATAGGGTCCATAAGCTTGGCAGTGTTGGGTTTCTGGTTTCCTCCTTCACTTCCTTAAGATCCTGTAAAAATAATTTTCCCTGTCCTCCCCCTTGTAAAGTTAGGAATAATGCTACTGGCATAAATGTAGCGTAAGGTTTATTGTGCACTCCCGGTGAGAGATGCTAAACATTACACATAATCACAGAGCTCCAGGTTAGAAGTTACAAAAGATCATTTGGTCCCTTGCTCAGAGCAGTGTCTTAAAACAGTATGGAAAAGAACAGTCCTAGATTGCCCTTTTYTCTCCCCTACAAYAAAGCACTGCCATTTTAACAGAACTTCATGGCAGTTTTGCGTCCTTCTAATCATTTTAAGGGTCTCCTGCTCTCCTGTTATTCTATTCCCTGATATGCTTTAGTATAGCAATGGGAGAGGWTGCAGTTGCAAAGAATTCAATAGGTGGCACCAGAACACTAAAAAATCCACTCAAAAAGAAAAGCAAATGCATTTCTTGTGAAACCTTATGGAGATATACTGGGTAAAATGAAGGAAAATCAAGAAAGATCTCAACACACCAGACTCTGTTACTCTGAGATTAAWAAGTGTATTGCTACTATCAATTTATTTCCAAAAAAATTGTTCCAGAGCTAACAAATATGGCTGAACTAACCTTGGGCTAACAAAGTTAATCTCAAAGAAAAACTGTCTGCTCATATTTATATTCTAAAACGTAACTCTGGAAACTGGAAAGCTGAAATCTAAAAATATCTTTAAAATGTAATAAGGATGTCCAATCCCCGAAACACATGCTGTGCAGTATGAAAGCCTGATGATTGCCAAAGTAAGCAAGTTGGTCTGAGTTTAAACAAGAACTACCCCAAAACTTTTCTCAAATCTTAAACTGTATCCAACTACAAGACATTTTTAAGATGATATGTGTAAGAAAGGCTCAGATAACCCAAGTGCAACAATTGGAGCATAGGAAAAGTTCCTGCTACTGAAGCAAGTTTTTCAAGCCTCCCTTTCCCTTCTCTTGATTTGGCTACCACTTGGCTCCTGCTGACTTATCTAAAAGATTTGCAATGTTTGAGCAGATCTGGCCTAAATCACATRCCCTAGAAAAAGATACAACCAGCAGCTCATCCCATCGGCAGATGGGAGCCTGACTAATGGCTTTCATTCTCTTTCCTCTCTGGCTACAGATGACAGACAGAATGCAGCTGCTGCTTGAAAGAAAGGTTTGAGATGGAATGACAGGCTGCCAACAAAATACACCCAAAACAAGCAGGCTGACCACCCTTTCTCTGAAAGCCCAAAGYCATACAGGCCCTGTGAGTGAGACATAGGATTACTGCATTGTGGAGAAATCTTTCAATGTTCAACAAGAAGAGCAAATGGAAACACTGTGAAAGAAATCAGGCCACCAAAAAAATGCCTATCCCTTCAAAGCCCTAGGACAGCAGGCTGGCTGGGTCACATCTGCACAGGAGCTGCTGCATCACCTCTGCAGGAGKGACTCTGCACTCACTGCAGTGAACTGTGCTAAGTCCAGTTATATAAASAGACAGCTTGTTGCTGTCTTAGGAAAATGCTTTCCACTTGGCAGGACCAAGTGACTCAAAAGGAGACAAGTGGGACCTAGAACAAGTTAAAAGACACTGTGTTTCAAGTAAGCCCAGGGTCTGATCTTCTCGAGCAGAAGGAAACGCCAGCACACATTTCCTGTGTGCGTGTGCTATTAATAACACAAAATCCAGCTGATAAGATGGAGATCTGTTGAATCAGCATTAAGAGAGCCTAAAAATGTTATTATATTTATAGGGGCAAAAATCCATTAACTGATGACAGGGAAGATGCCTTTTAATTCCATTCTGCTGCCTAATTTGCACAGTGAGTAAAATGGACCTGGTTTTGCATTTCCTGCTGGACTGGGAAGGAGACTGTGCTTGCAAGGCAGCAGCTCAGGCTGTCTGCTCTGAGCACAGGATTGCTGCAAGGCTGCATTCCTTCATGAACACAGCCTGAGAAATGTGAGAAGGAGGATGCCTCTCCTGATAATAGTGCATTTGGGGTTTTATCTAGCGTGGTACCATACCAGCTGGCTCTTCACATCCAGCTGTACCCCTCGTGTCTTTGCCAGAGCTGCAAGGGAGCAGAGGAAGTAATCCTTCCTCTCAGCCTCGTGTCTGTAAAACAGTTGGCAGCCGGATTTTGCTGCCAGGAAAAACGCTCAGTGATTCTGCAGAGCTGCTGCCCTTTTCCCAGGATCTCTCCAGCCTTTACTATATTGCACAGACCCCAGAAACCCCACCAGGCAGCATTTTACACCAAGCAACTTGTGCAGGTCCAGCTTCTGCCTTCCCTCTTTTCACAGCTGAACGGCACTGCTTCAGCAGGGTCAGGGCTCCTCACATCTGCACAGAAAGCAACAGGATGTGGTCTACTTGTTCAGATGGAGTAAAGCCCTTTGAGGGGGTCTCCTAGCAAACAGCACAGACATTGCAGCGCCCCTGCAAGCCAACACTAAATTGTAAAAAAAGAACAGTTCCTGGTGGGAGGTGAAGGGTGAGTAAGGCAAGGA